TTCAACATGATATTAGAGACATTTCCATTCATCATCGAGAATGTATACAATGGTGGGTAACTGCAGAACATTTTCCCTGGCATCGTCTGCAGTATGTATATGTGGAAGGCCGTTCATACAATAAATAAAGGACTCTTATTTCAAAATTTTTTGTAATGTTAGGTAGAGGTCACCATAACTTGTCAAACAAGAACAAATACAAGCAGCCTAACTATGTGGAATACAATAAAAACCAAGTTAACAATTCTTTCTTCGAAAATTCGACTGAAATAATGGGAAAAAAGAAGCAAAAGAGCATGATAGCTGGTGTCTGATGCAGTAAATAGCTCTATAACTTCAATAACTTTTGGCACCATATATAGGAAAATGTAACAGTCATATAGTTGTCTGGGGGAGTTGATTTTGGGAGCTCACCTTGTCAAACCGGCAGGCCTCAAGCACATTCAATGTGGAAGCAGCTCTGTCTGTGATCAAGTTGCTTGAGTGAAGTGCCAAAGCACTTAACGTATCGGCTGCGGCCTTTCGAGTAGCCCAATCTGAACTGCCAAGGCACTCGTGAACACTTTGCAGTATGGTTTCCAGACTTTGTGGTGCTATTGCACCAACCTGCAAAATAATATAGAAACTCAGATTGACAGTGTGAAAAAGAACGTGAAAATTCTTCTTTCCCCCACAACACTGTTATATGACATGTCAGATAAAAAACTAATATTTCACATATTCTGACCACAATGATTCGTTCAAAGACGTCAACGCCGTGCTCAGTCTGTCTATTACAAATATAGGAGGGTTGAATGCCCAGATATGGACTAATATAAGAAGCATGATTATAAAAGGAAGCCATTGACATATTGCAGATGAGCATATGGCATTAAGAGTAATTATCTCATATTTAATAGAAAGAGAACAAAATTCTAGTGAATTTTATACATCAGAGTTTAACAGAGCATGAAATGTGACCAAAATATCATTTTTGACCAAACCAAAAACTCAATGAAAAGGGAAGAAATATGCTTGTGGTTTGATATTCTTAACTTAATTTCCAGTCGTTTAGCCATCCACTAGTGTATCCCAATGTGATGACTTTTTACTGTAAAAACTGTAAATATTTCTTCCCTTACGAAGGTCCACTAAGACTTCCTGTGTCATTTTTCAAAGTAAACCCCAAGGATGATCTCATGTCAAATTTATCTGTCCCCATTAATTTATTAACTCAATCTTATGACTTTAGCATAGTTTTACAACACATTGCAACTTTACATTCTATTCACAGCTTTTAAGCTATGGGCTTGAAGTATCAAAATCAATAGCACAACAAGTCAAGATGGCAATTTTCTTTTCCTCCAATTTGGTATCACCAAACAATTTACAAAATGCCAACTACTTTATCAAAAGTGATATGACTTCTGATATGGTTCACACAATATTCAGCAAATCGCTCCCAACTTCATACACGATGAAACAAATACCATGAGTTAAGACCATACAACCTAATTCAAAAGAAGTCAAATTGGACAAACCTGAGATAATCTCGATATAACTGGCAATAATGAAGCCTTTGCCATGAAATTGTGGCTAATCAAGTACTTGCAGACCCTCGAGCAGAGCTTCTGAAACGCAGTCAAAGGTGAGTCGGAGGCGCATTCAATCGTCTTTGCAATGCACATTGCCGCCCCACCTTGCGCAGTCTTGTTATTCTCACTCATAACTTCAAACAACGGCTTCACGAACAGAGAAACCACCCCCTCACTGCCATTGCCGCCCTTCAAGTATAGCGTAGCAAGCAAGCCAATATCCTCGCGGCATGCTTCCCTTACCTGTGAATCTGAGTCCTTAAGCTTCTTCACAATGTGAGCAATTATTTTTGTCAAGTGGGTAGCGCAGGTACCCGAATGTGCAGCGCAGAGGGTTGCGAGGAGACGAAGGCTCTCCTTTTTCACGGCAGGTTTCGAATCATTGCCGGCATCATAGAGGCAGTTGAGAAGCATCGGAACACCGTCATTGGACAGTGAATTTATAATCTTTTCCAAGTCCTCAACAGCGATCTGGTGGGTATCACGGTCTGAAAGTTTAGTTAGAGAGTTGATGATTTTCTGCTTCAATTCTACCATGGCTAAATGGGATGATAGAGAAGATGAAGAAGACCTTGAAGGGGTTGATTGGTTAGGAGGTTTTGTGGGTTTTAAGGATCTTTGTGAACTCATTTCGAAATCTTGATAAAGAATCAACTAAACAATGTTACAATGCAGAAACATTGAAGATTTTACCTTTCAGAGAGATACAGAAAGGGATTGAGCAATGTGAGGAGTTAACAAACGAAGAACGAATTTGTAGTGAAAAAGTTTTGTGGGTGGGGTAGGAAGTGTGAGATTAGTGTATGGAGATTAATATTTATTCAAGAATGGAAGCAAAATGAGCTTTAGTAGAAAAGGAAGTGAGATCCGTGACTAAGCCCTGTTTGAATCTTGTTCCATTGACAATTCATTTTTCACTATTATTTTTAACTACACAACTTTTCGTAAAATAATATTATATATAAATAAAAAAATTTCATTTTTTTTCAAATATCCATTTAAAAAACCATTCCACCCATTTTTATTTTCAAAAAATGAGGGCCAAACGGGGGCTTAAATCAGTATTCCTTGTCTTTCAAGATTTTATAATAATTTTTCTTTTTTAAATCGATTAAGATCTTGATTAGGAGTATATAATGACATGAAAAATTGACACCTTGAAAAAGAAATCAACATGTAATTATATTATATGTCTTTATTCATATATCATACTAAGAGCTTGTTTGAGAGTGATTTTCCCCTCCATTAAAAAATTAATTTTTTGACCGTATTTCACTATTTCAATCGTCATATTTGACTTCTTCTTTCATAGGTGAATTTCACTTTTCTCCTAACAATCAAAAAATCAATTTATAAAATCACTCCAAAACAGACTCTAAATTGTTTATTAAATTTTCATTGGGATTGAAAAGACATCTGAAAATATTACTCATTTACAATCAAAAGATGTTAATATTTTATTATTTGAAGTAAACCAGACTGGGCAAGGTTTTAAAAAGAGTATATTTGTTGAGCCTAATTTATCAATATTCAACGTGCTCTTATTTAAAACTCTCTACTAAAAATTGAAAGAGCACACGAAGTAGAAAGCATTTACAAAGCAATAATTACTTTGTATAAGTGGAATCGAGTTTCAAATTATACTACGATGAAGTGATTGCACCAACTTGAATGATATCACTTACCTTTGAAGTAGCAAATTTCACTGTTTAAATAATTTCTTTTAGGCGCAAACGTTGACATTGACACCTAATTACACTTTACCTTCCCCTCCCCCCTTCCCCCCCTAAAATTTGCCTAATCCTACTGAAAATTTGTAAAAGTTTGAAACTTGATTTTGCCACCTTGCCATGCTTATGTTTATAACACTTAGTCCCGGTTTGGTTCCCTTTAAAACTGTTCAATTTAATTTAATTTTTTCTCTATCCCACTTTCAACCACACAATTTTTAATAAAATAATATTACACTCAAATCTAAAACTTTTCAACCACACAATCTTAAAAAAAATATTAATCTCTTCATTATAAATTCAAATAATGGGAGTCAAATGGGAGCTTAGGCTATGTTTGATAGCCCAATTTTTTTCTATGGAAAATGAAAAATAAATTCCAATTTTCACTTTTGACATATTTGATTTATAAAATTTTGTAGGGAATTGATTTCCCTACTTTGATCGTCACGTAAGCATTTTCTTGGTTTTCATGACTTTTCATTCCCACCAAAATGGTAGGAATTGTTTTACCATTTTGTGTGTGCGTGTGTGTGTGTGTGTTTTTTTTTTAATTTTTGGCAATTGAAACAAATTTTAGGAACAATTGTAAAAGATGGTGTTTCTTAAATTGACAATTTGTATGTAAAACAAAGTTAAACGAACACCAAAAGACAAATGATTTTTAATTTTCTTGGATTTTTTTTTTGGACAATGAAAACAAATTCTAGGAATATTCGTAAAAGAGAATATCCGTTAAATTGATAATTTCCCTAAAAAAAGCTAAACGAACACGAAAAGAAACTTTTATTTTAACATTTTTCAGGTTAAAAATTATACTAATCAAACACAATAATCTACAATTATCAGTAAAACAATTTTTAGGCAATTCAATTCCCTGAAATTTATTTTTTTTCCACCCAAATTTTATATTTGCAATCAAACAGATTCTTAAATCCCCTAAGAATTATTTATGTTACAATACCTAAAGGGGGATAAATATTATTTCTTCAATCGGAGTTACAAAGTGGTCATAAAATGTATTAACTATGTACATACTCGACGTCTTTGAATTAAAACGAAAAAAAACTTTTAGAAACATTTGAAAGCAAAAAAAAACAAAAATTAGCGAAAAAAAACTTTTAGAAACATTTGAAACCAAAAAGAAGAAAAATTAGCAAAGTGGGCCAAGAATGAATTGTTCAAATGAGAGTAACTCGGATCTTGCCCGACTTCCATTGTGACCTAGATACACAGGTAAACAATTTTTAGTAATCTTCGAGTAGATTTTGTTGAAAGTGACACTACAACTAACATGAAGACTGCAATTAATTAGCGAGCTTTGTATAATGTAAACCCTCTCTCCCTCACCCTTTTCACAGCATTTTCTCTTTGACGGTTCAGAATTGAATTTTTTGGTATTATTCTACTGTCTTTACTTCTAGAGATGGGATTTTTTTTGGGTCAATTGTTGATTTGTTATTACTTATTTTTATTTATTTATTTATTTTTATCAATCTTTATGATGTCTCGTTACTAGATTTTGATCTATTTTCTATTCAAGTTTCATGTTCTTTACTTATAGTTAGGTTCTTGTCAATTTGATGCCCAAGATTCCGTCTACCTTCTTCGCTGCTACGGTGAATTATTAGTGCTAGTTAGACCTGTAAATAATCTTGAATTAAACTATTTGCTGAGAGTCTGCTCTAAAAATTATTAGTGCTAGTTAGACCTGTAAATAATCTTGAATTAAACTATTTGCTGAGAGTCTGCTCTAAATGAACAGCTGTGTTACTTCCGGCCGGTTGCCTAGATGGTAGTTTGGTGACCGAACATGCTCCATTGCCTAAGTTAGTGCATAGTTTTTAAGATAAAAGTGTTTAATTTTTAGTGCGAGTTCTCGAATTTGAGTGTGTAAGATTTGTTCTCTTTATAGTATTTGTTTTTGATCCACTTCACTCGGGATTTCAAAAAACTACAATCAGCTGTTGCTTAAATAGGCAGCCATGGACAATTCCAGAGACAAAAAAAGATTACAAATAATTTGACCAACATTTAAGAAAGATGAAGCCCTTTAGATTCTCATGTCTAGACTTCTCCTTCCAATGTGTAGAGTTCTTGTTCCAAGCAATGTTGTGGTCTCCAATGTTTTCGAATGCTTTTGAAGATTGCGTATTTCTTTGACTTTTAACAATATTGTGCTTCTTTGCTTAAAGGTACTCTCTGTTTTATATAATTGTGTAAGTTTAGGAGCCAATAATTTGGCACCTTGTCCATATGCCTGCCTTTTGAGGTTGTCTGATTCGTCGCTTTAGGAGGTGACTATCCCCTTTTCATATACGTGTTGTCGCCCTTGATTGACTGCCTTGGTCAGTCTGCATTCACAAAAGGATGTGAAAGTCTTTTTAATATTAACTGTAGCTTTTATGGTACACAAGCTGCATAATGACTGGAGCTGAATAGGGATGATTGACAAAGCAGAGTCTAACGGAGCCTGTGAATGTAGAACCAAAGTCCTAACTCGGTTTGGTCATTTTCTATATACAGTACAAGTAGTAATATGATTTTTCACGATCACATAATTTACCAGTAAATCACTAGTTTGTATAGTATTTCGTGACTAAAAAAGTCACTAATTTGTACATTGTTGCTTCTGCAATGCCAGATACGAGCATTGGCTTTATCTACTGCTTTATGTAGCTAGAAGGTTCTCTCTCTCTAATTGTTAAGTGAGCTCAGCCTCAAGCCAATTTTTATCACACATTCCGAGGAACCCACAAGTACTACACATTTATCCAAACTTCCCAAACATGCAAATTTATTTGTTCTTTGCTTTATCTTAACTGGAGGGTCGGGACACTTGAGAGCATCAACAATTCTGATGAGCTTGCATAATGCAGAAGTTTGGATATGTAATGTACAATTGTTATATTTGTGTGCTTTCTGACACTTGCTGAACTGATATTATTCAACATCTGTTTGAATTAGCTTAAAAAATAAACAAGTTCACCTCTTAGAACTTAAAAGGGTATATTGGTCTTTACATGCAGACGGGAAAGACTATGATTCAGACATTCGAAGCTATCAAGGGTGGTGGAGGATCCGTTAAAGTAGGAACCACCGGAACAATCAGTGCTCTCATGTCTAAGGAATTAGAATCCGGGAAATTTGCATTTCAGATTCCAGTGTCGTTTGGAAATGATTCTCCTCCAGTTTCTTCCTCTGGATGCTCCGGTGACAGCATTCCGAGAAGGCCAAAATCTACAATGTCAGTGGGTGAAGCAAGCAGCAGCGACCAAAATCATGAATCCCCTGAAGTCACAAGGAAAAAGCACACTGGAAAAACTCATCGAATTCCTATTCTCAAGGCTGATAATGTACCCATGGATGGAACTCCTATAAGGCAAAAACCAGTCAAAAAGGGGTCTGGCATGGTCGAAATCGTGGACATAACATGTGGCAATCCGGACAGTACGTGGGCAAACCCGATACGAAATCGTTTAAAGAAGCTTGGTTTCTCGAAATTATCTGAGAGCACTGTCTAATAATGCCAACTTTCAAGATCAGCCAATTGAATCCAGGAAATGTGATTGGCCCGATTGCTCGCTGCAACCTCCACAATATAACACGTGCTCGGTTCTTAAGAACAACCATCAATCCAAGCTTAAGTTTTGCACTGTCATCTGTAGAAGCCAGGTCTGAAAGTTGCTGCTGATAAGGCGTGTGTCTGTGAGAGCAACTTCGATAGCATAATTCTAGCCTGCTAAAGTAGTCCATTTCTTGAATATGGAGATCCAACAATGCCTATATCAACAGGATAAATTTTCAAGCCTTTTGCCCGAAAATTGTCGAGCTAACTCTTTTGAATTTGTGCTAAATATGGGGAAAGAAATACTAGTATGTAAAAGAAAATATTTCTAATTTTCCAAAATAAGTGCTTTTCTATTTATCCGTTCTAATTAATTCATAATTTTGAAAGCTATATTGGTGATTGGTGATTTGCAAGTATACTAATAAGTTTCCATCATCCTAGATTAAACTAAATAAAATCACATCATCTGCCTTTTAAAATTGAAAATATCTTAGAAAAGTGTAGAAATAATAAGAATTGTCTCTAGATTAATTGAATTTAAAATAATCGTACTTAATATTTGATAAACTAGAGCTATAAACTCGTTTGTCGATTAGAAAAGGCACAATAATCTGTTGTTTTATTAAAAAAAAAACATCTTAAACTTTTTGGTTCATCAAAAGTTTTTTTAATTAATTACCAAACAAAAAATATCTGATTGATTAAAAAGAGGAGTGGGAAGAGAAGCTTGCTCTCTTATCAGAGCCAGGTTTCGATCCTGGGACCTGTGGGTTATGGGCCCACCACGCTTCCGCTGCGCCACTCTGATTTGTTGCTTTTTGGGTGTCTCTAAATTTAAATATTCCTATCAAGGCCTACTGAGTGGCCACAATTCCGAGTACTGTCCAGCTATCATGCTTCTTATCAAGACCCACTAATTATTCTTCAAATGGGTCTACTGCATGTTTTTCCAAGCTCAATTCTAGGTTTCTGGGTAAGTCAGCAACTAAAACTCTAGGATGTTGCAGGCACACAACCAGACTTTGCCCAACCTCAGGTTCAAGAACCACATGCTGGTTCAGATTTGGGAAAAATGGTGTTGATGCAGAAGGTGCTGGAGTTTACGGTAGCCAGACCCGTGATGATTTTGACCGCGACGATGTTGAACAGGTGATCACTTATTCATATCTATTCTAGAAATTTGTGATTGCTAGCTAGTTAAGTTTTCAACTAAATGAATCCACCGTACTAATTTGTTTTTGGTAATGTGGATATCTGAGATATATTCAATTAGCAAAGGTAGAATTTTCCTTGAGTTTGAATTGGAAAGATTTTTTTTTGTTAGCTGAATAGTTAGTTAAATATCAAATATTGACCAACTTAAAAAATCTTGAGATACTTCTTTTAACAAGGTTGACCTTATTAAGATGGATTTCAAATCTTAATATGGTATCAGAGTCACCCCGTGAATTTTAAAATTGGTCTGCTCAAATGAGTGCCATCTTCAAGGGGTCAGTTAAGGGATGTCTTATCGCACATCGGTTTAGTACCGAAATAAATACTAATTTATAAAGATCTTGGGCTTCTTCACTTAATAAGATTAACAGATAGAAACATAGTTCAACCACGGAAGCCATACTGAAATGGTAGAACATTGTCAAGTAAATTAGAGTTTTTCTTTAGTACTAATTATTTTATGTTGAAAACAACAAACATTTGGTAAAATCTGGAGAATCCATTGCCAACTTCTCACCTACTATATGTTTGAACGAAATCTTCTCTTGTAGGGATCTGATTGTAGAGTTCTAATCCATGATTTGAGGCATTTCAGACAGTGGTTGAGCTATTTTTTGTGATCCAGAAGACACTATGGTTATTTTTAACTTGTCGCCATACATGTTCTAATCCGCGTTTTTTTAATGCTAAGACCCCAATAAGGACTTGGTTTACAATTTCCTTTTTCTTCTTCTTCCAGTCATTTCCTCCCTTCTTTGCCACCATGTGATGCAACACCAATAGAAAAATTAATAAAGAAAGAGAAAATCAATGAATCAGGAAGAAGAAATAAGGGGAAGGGATGGAAGAAGCAGAAAATAGGGGAAGAAGAAGAAGAAGAAGAATGGGGAAGAGGGGGAATTTCGCCACAAGCCACCAAAAATCTTTATTCAATCATCAACTACTGAAATTACATCGCAATTAGGTTTAAACAGTAAAGACTAAAACCCTAGCTAGAATGAACTTGGGCCAATACAAGCCTAATTACATAAATAAAAATCTAAAACATAAATAAAGTCCACAAAATAAAAAATAAAGTCCAACTAGAAATAAAACAGATGATGTCCTCATCAATTCTTCCGGAGTGGGAGAAATACTCGACTCCGTTGAGTTGATAGATCACTATAGGCTGCAGTCAATCTGATACTCAAAATGCTTCAAGTCAAGCTATGGGGGACGATCTTTCTGACGAACTAAGTAACGAAATTCCATGATTGATAGTACTGAAAATTTTAGCTCATTCCCAAGAATATGATATGACCAAGGGTGGCGATCTTTCCTTCTAACCAAGTACTGATACTGGACTCCAAATAATCAATACTCATACACCTCATCCTCAAGATTTTCACATGATTGTACATAATGAGGAGCATAAGAAGCACGTTGATCTACCGAACAAACAAAGAAGTACTGAATCTTGCCATCATTGGTCAATACAACACGTTTATCTAAAATAACATCAATTTTATCTTTGTGTGCTGTGATAGATGGTATTGAAATAGAAATATAAACATAGTCAAGTTGGGGGTCCACAAAGCTAAGTAGAAATGGATCATCAAAGGAAGTAACACGGTGTTTGTAAGTAATGAAGTCCTCAATATTTAAAGCAGAGTGGTAACTAAAATGTGATGAAAGAGCAATGACATGTGCATTTGAACCAACATGCTTTAAAAATTTTAAAGGACCAGTACTACAAGCTTGCAATATAACATAATCCCCAATATTAAATTCAAAATATCGTTTATGCGAATTAGCTTGAAGTTTATATAATGCATTACTTGCATCATGTTATTTATTGATTTCAATATGCAATTCATGAAGATGATATACAAATGTTTTAGCTAACAACGACACACTGGCATCCGGAGACATGGGAATAAGATCTGATGGCCGCCTAGACTTATGATTATGAACAACTTCAAATGGATTTAGACCTAGAGACCGATTTACAGAATTGTTATATGCAATTTGAACAGTTGGAAGGATCAAATTTCAATTTCCCAGAGTTTCCTTACAAAGAGTATGATCACACAAATCATCAATACCTTTGGGTGGGATAAGAGTAGGACATACAACATTTGACTAAGAGGTATCGAGAACAAGGGGTACAATACCTAGACTCATAGGAAAAGTCCGAATACTATCTAAAGGGGTGTCCTCACTATCATCAAAGTCATCAAATTCTTCAAGTTTAGGTTCATAGATTTGATTTTCAAATCGTTCATCTATCATATTCTTTTGTTTTTCAATGAATAAGGCTCGATTAGAACATTCAGAAGAGATGTGGCCAAAGTCTTTATAGTTGAAGCATTGCAAATGAGGAGAAGTTATTGAAGTTTCAAAATCTTGACCTTTATTGTCCAACAGAGGAGGAGTATTAGATGGGGGAGGACCTAGAAGGGACTTAACAGGAAAATGTGGTGTTGATGAGACGAAAGGGGGAATGTCACTACGCTTTCGATACGAAGAAGAAGGTTTTGGGATATCATGACCTTTACACTTACTTTTCCGAATGGGAGGAACATTAGACGAGGAAGGCTCTGTGATAGACTTATGACGAGGTGGTGCTGATGAGATGGGTGCACGATGGTGACTACGCTTTTCATATGGAGCACTAATAAGTAACTCGTAGTCCTGAGCTAAAGAGTAACGAGTAGTGACACCTCGAAAGAAGAGTTCACACCTAAGTTCATCTCTTAGACCTTGTATAAATCTATTCAAAGTTAAGGCTTCATCCTCAATGACATGACACTTCATTCGAAACTCTTCAAATTGAGCAATATACTTAGTCACTAACTGATTCCCTTGTTTAAGGGCATTCATTGAGTAAGAAGTTCAAAATTTAAGCAACCATCGAAAGTAGGAGTATCTGACTTAATGTCTCTAAAAAAATGCTCCTTATGACGAGGAAAAGAATGAGTACCATGACGACCATGACCTCGTTCTTGCTCACGACCCTTATCCGGCGATTGTGTTGAAAATATTTTTGATCACCTTGTTGACGATAATATTGTCTATTATGGGACACTTCAGAATTATTAACATTAGTCGAATGAGGAATATGCTTAAAATTGTTCAAATTAGCAGAGAGGGCTTTACTCTCTTCAAGAGTGGCAGTTGTCTGGGTTTGAATAGTTGCTATTTGTTGGGTGAGTGCATCAACTTGTAAGAATCCATGTTTAGGTACTGAAACTAGAGTGACAATACGATCGGTCGACCACTATGCATGCATTGTAGTAGCAGCTAAATGACGTGTAATAGAGAGATCAATGAACAATAAGTGCAAGCAATGTGAAATAAACAATATGACGCAAGTAATGGGAAATAACTTGAACCATTTTTATTTAATTTTAAATATTGAGATTAAATAAATCAAAAGCAAGCTAATACTGCTGGTACATGTAAAATAGCAAAGCAAGAGTCAACACACTAGTCAAATTCTCCAATCAATTTAAGTGGGGAATAATGTAAGTCAATTCGGTCATTGGTGTCAATTCGATCAATGGTTTCGATCAAGTGGGGTTTAAGGCTAAAATTATCACGTTAACAGCAGCACAAGATTTTAATTGATGCAGTTTTAAAAATGTAGTGGTATAAACTAATACTATATAGAGATCAAGGACTCCCTGTTGTTTAGTTGCTTGAATTTTTTGAAATTTGGACCCCAGTTATGCTTGTGTCCTATCCTTCTTTGCAGATGTCTTCCACTGCCGAAGTCACTCCCTGTTGATTGTGATTTATACTGGTTATTGCTCCGGCTCTGTTGTGCGTTGGAGTTATAACTGACGGGCAAGTGAAATTGATCCGTGTTGTTGGTCGTTTATGTGTTAAATGAGATGTGATAATATGTGTTAAGTAGGCTGGTTTATTTTGATTCAAGTAATGGGTTGAGTTATTTTTGAGATGTTGGAATTGGGCTCGAAGTAAGTAGTTTGATGATTATGATGGGAAGTGGGCTGTGTATGGAAGGGGTAGAGGGTTGAGTAATTGGGTTTGGGGGGTTATTAGGCTGCATGGGATAAAAGGAATATTTGTGGGTATATTTGGGTTAGATTATAAAGATTGAGAATTTGTGAAACAGCACTTAACAGCAGCAAACGCCTAAAATACTAAAATTGATTTTTTTTTTGGGACAAAAAATGATGAAAAATACTCAAACTTAATTTTTTTTTTCTCTGGGTGAACAGTAACTCTCTCTTTTTTGGGAACTAAAAATACCAAAATTGAATTTTCGGGTGTGAATAGTACCCCCCGTGAACAGTAACACGAATTTATTTTTTTATTTTATTTTATTATTATTATTTTTTTTTTTAACAAAGACAAAGAATTAAAAAAAATGAAAAAATGCTGCTTTTATGCTAAATCTTTTCAATTGTGTTGTCCCAACAAATTTTGAGAAGAAAATAAGAAATTTTGGATTGTATAATAGGAAATACCCAAGATTCGGCTCTAATACCAAATTTGATGCAACACCAATAGAAAAATTAATGAAGAAAGAGAAAATTAATGAATTAGGAAGAAAAAATTAGAGGAAGGGATAGAAGAAGAAGAAAATAGGAAAAGAAGAAGAAGAATGGGGAAGAGGGAGAATTTCACCACAAGCCACCAAAAATCTTTATTCAATCATCAACTACTAAAATTACATCGCAATTATGTTTAAATAGTAAAGACTAAATCCCTAATTAGAATGAACTTGGGCCAATACAAGCCCAATTACATAAATAAAAATTTAAAACATAAATAAAGTCCAAAAAATAAAAAAATAAAGTCCAACTAGAAATAAAATAGAGGATGTCCTCATTACCATGTTTGTGTGGTCATTCCTTGGATGAGAATGAAATTCTTGATTTGCCATTTTTTTTTTTAATCCTACCAAAGGTATTTGAGAAAATCTCTTCAACAGCTCGTTTTGAATAATTTTGAGTGGGCAGTGAGGAATTCTTGGTGGGAAGGTTGGTAACTTAAGAAGAACACTGTCCATGAGCTCTGGCCCTTCCCTTCTTTTCTTTTGAAGTTACCTATTACATGAAATAGAATACGTTCTCTCTTGGCCAATGATGGATGGAACAAAACGTTTTTTTTTCTTGGCCAATTATTTATGCTTCTTCCTGTTTAATTTTCGATCATCTTGCTAGCTTAACTTTTTTGATGAATCTGGAAATAGTCAGTTTATGTGATTAGTTATTTATGGATTGGAAGAAGTTTGACAACAGTTATATCGATTTTAAACAGTACTTCAATTATATGGGCATGCTAGCTGTGGAGGGTACATATGATAAGATGGAGGCTCTTTTGAACCAAAACATCCACCCAGTCGACATCTTGCTGATGATGGCTGCCTCAGAGGGTGACAAGCCAAAGATTGAGGAATTGCTTAGAGCAGGAGCTGATTACACTGTCAAAGATTCAGAAGGCCAGAGTGCCCTGGCAAAGGCAGCAAGTGATGAAATCAAGGACTTTATTCTTGGGTTTTCAGTTCAAAAGGCATAATGTAGTGTCCTGCTAGTAGTATATAGGAAGTTTTGCCATTGTATTATCTGCATTTATTGCCTCAAACAGATTTATTAAGCAGTTCCTTCTACAATGTTATGTTAACACTGCAATTTCTTTTGTTGCTAACCTAATGATGTCGTCTTCTGACATCTGGATTGTGTCCTTGCCCCAATAAATTCCAGTTTTTTAACACAGAACCATGATGTTGAGTGTCAATAGAACCCGGGAAGGGGGATGAGTCTATACACATTTTTAAGCAATCAGACCATGCTGCTCAAAGCCTAGTTCTTTGATATTCTGTAGCAGTATAATTTCATCTTTTATTGCTTTCTTCTTTCTCAACGCCTGTTCTGAAAGCTACTTGTTTACTAGCTAATGTTTCAAAGAAAAAATATGACCTTTCGTGGTGATATAATTGAAAAGGGGAAATTCAGGTGGGAGTAACGGACAAGCATGTCTCCCTCACTATCCGAATATCATTGAAACTAAGCTGCCTATTAGTTTGTTGAGACTTGATAAATATGTTGTAATCACTTGTACTGTGTCGTTTGCCTTGAAATTCTTCCGGCTGGTTCAATCTCTCAACTTCTATTGATACTGTGGTTACATCTAACAATGTGAGGCATTGAAGATTTGAGTCTGCAAAATACTTGATGGAAAAGGCCATAAATAAGAAAATAACAATTAAATATTATTGCAATAGAAATTTTAAATAAGGTAGTAACAGAAAAATAAAAATGTTTATATTGACCTCATTGGCAATATAATAAAATATATCCTTTTCAATATGTAAGATCAAACATTTATTCATCCACAAATATCGATTGATTTTGTTGTTGATTCTTGTAACATTTTCTAGATTAGCCGTAACAATTGAAAGTATCAACACCAAAATCACAAATAAATACACTAATGTGTCTATATAACTTATTGTTTTTTGTCGTAACCAAAATTTGAGACGAAAGACCACACAAAAGAAATAAATATAAAAGTAGAAAGGTAGCAAAAAGTCTTGAATGAGTCACGCGTGTGAATTTTAGTTTTCTTTGATGTGCTACATGTGTACACAACATATAAAAACATTGAAATTTATCACTCCTAATGCTACTTACTAAAAATATTGTATTCATATCTTGATCTTAAAATTATTATATTGGAAATCCTAACCCGATAAAACTAGCCCTTTCAAAATATTGAGTTTGGTGCATTTTTTTATTATTATTTTTTTAAAATCTCACCCAACCCCATGGCCTTAGATTTTAGCAAATAACATATACACAAATTAATTAGGAGGTTTGCTCTATGTATCCTTGCTTGGACCATCACCCAACTCCCAAGGGCCCTTAACTTCTCAACACCTATAGGTATAGGTGCGTTTGGTGTGTATTTAACAAGAACATTGAAGGAATACATGTGTAAAATATTTTGATAGTTGTTTTGTGCATAATTGTTTACTCAGGCATGCTAAACAAGCCATACGTATAATGAGACAAAAACTCTTTATGTTCGTCTAGTTCTCATGGATGGAGAAAACGATATATACTCAATACAATTATAATATAACATAGATAAAGGGTCTTGAATTCGAGAATTAAATCAAATAACAAATTCACTTAAAAATTGATTCATACACATTGGATTTTTACGCAAGTTGGAGTCTCTTCATGAAATCGAAGAGCTGATCCTCATCAGTCATATTTAGTATAAGAATAAATAGTAGTGTGCTTAATGAAATATATCAATAATAATAAAGAGTACTGATAAATATATGGTTAAAGTTAATTTTAAACTTTGACTGGATTAATAAAATATTTATAAATTTATATCCAAATGATCTACGATTTTTTTTTCCATATGCATCAAAAAACTATCCATTATGTACTGTCGTAGTGAACGACTACGAATAACATTATTTTATTTATTTTCACATTTATGAGGAATAAATCTTTCGATTGTACTTTGGACTTTAATATCTTGTTTTGGGATGCTTGGCAGGGAAAAAGAGGGGCAAAATGAATATTTTAATTTGGTAATGCTTTATCGAAAGGATGAGAATTATATATGTGTCATACGATGGGGTTTGTAACTTTTTCTTTATTCTTAAGGATATAAAACTTTATTATTTTTTCTCGATTAGATCGACCAGTCTAATCCTGTGGCACACTGATTATTTATATGCCATAGAACATGTTTAATGAATTAGCCATGAAATAAATTATATGATCATGATTTAATTTCTCAGAAGATATTAATAGGTGGGACATCTACTGTGATTGTTTGTGTTATAGACTTGAGAAATTAATCTCTTTTACAATCGTTTGTTTCGTAT